TGAAAAGGTAGTGGCATGAAACATTTCTACTAAAGAGATTTTAGGCTATGAAATACAGGTTGGGGGAGGATTTGGGGAGCTCTCTCTATATCTAAGGGTATATTTGAGAGCTTTGGGGTTGATCTATGCTTGCAATAGCACTCTGATTTGGGGGGAGAAAAAAACACAAAAAAACACCAACAAATCGTAAGCACAGCACATCAGTATAACCATTTATCTGTAAATTATTTTTCAGCACCTAAATCCTGAACCTCCTAGGTGTGAAGGAATAGTATATATAGAGAAAGCCAAGGCACTTTTCCTTAGCTCTGGAAACCTTTTAGTGATATAGAGGGGTGTTTTTGGTTTTGTTCAGGTTATTTTAACCACCTAAGGCATTTTGCCACTTTTCTTAAGTGTGAATTGCCTGCTGTTGTTCTGCCTTGGCGTTCTCACCTCAGTGATGGCTGCAGGCATATTTGCATATTGGATGCTGTGTTCTTTAACCTCCTGAGATTTGAAATCATTTGGAGTGTGTGTGTATCAGAGAGAGACACAGAGATGCTTTCAAACCCCAGGACAGTTTCAGTTCAGTGGACTCCAAAAAACCTCCAACAATACCTCCATTGACTTTTATGTAAATGGCACTCTTTAGAAAAACACTGGGCTATTTCCCAAATTCCCAGAACATATCCTGAGCATTTGTTTGAGTGAGGTGTGGGAGAGAGAGTTCTGGTGAATCAATGAACATCTGTTGAGGGCTGCTCTACTAAGTCCCAGGGAGACAGAGTTCACGATGTTGCTCTTCCCTGCTAGAACTAGTTTACCCTACTAGGAATGCATGCCTGCGGCTTTGTACTGTGTCCTAGCTAAGCTGGAATGGGGTTTCCCAGGATTCCCTTTCTGTATGGTTCCAGGTTAGGATTGACCTCAAGAAAATTTTATTCGAGATTTGTAAAGTGAAGTGAAGCAGCTCCCAGTACACTATGAAGGGGGCAGAGCAGGGTATCAGGCATGATGGCCGTGCATAACCGTTGACACTGATGTGCGTGTTGTTTATGCACAGCCACCCACCGAGGCCTGCAGCTCCACCACTCCACTGAATCTCCTCCTTCAGCTACTCTGAGTCCTGGGCCAGGTGTACACTCAGCTCTGTGGCAAAGAGCTCCAGCTTCTGCAAGTCACCTGCGTCAGTGAGCTTGCAGATGGGGAAAGGAAGTTGCAAGTTTCAGTTTGTCCTCATGAGTTCCACTTGTCCTTTTAGTTCTGATTTGTTCTTACAGGTTCCAGTTTTCCTCACTCTCCTCCACAGCCAACTTCCCTTCCCAGCTGCTGGCCTGCTGGCCCATGGAGACTTCAGGCCCAACAGCAGATGCAGATGCAGCAGCACTGCATGGATTTTTCCCCAACTTCCATCCTTGAACAAGGTCTAATTCCTATACTAAATCCTTAATTTTCTGTTGCTCATAGTGTTTGGCTTCTCTAACCAAACCCTATAGTAGAAATTTATTCAAGCTATCCGAAAGGCCCAGAAAATGGGTGACATCTGAGCTGCTTCTGAAAGTACGAGCAGAAGATTACATGTATGGAGAAGGAGGGAGAAATTCCAGAGAAAAGCTGGCTCAAGCCAAGCAACTGAAAGGAAAAATAGGAGTTCTGCCTTTCTAAAACTGTCTCAGACCTCCTTCATGAGTCGAGAGCATAGATAGAAAGAGAACATCTAATCCTAGCTCTTGATCTTAGCTCTTCTGGCCTCATTAAGATGAACTGTTGGTAGATGTTATCACTCCTGTGCAATGGTATCTACTGAGATGCATTTTTGCTAGGGTGCATCCTTGATACTCCTCTAAGTCACCTCCCCGTAGGAAAATATTGGCCTGTTCCCCTCTCCTTGTTGGCTCCACGAGGCCACTCCAGGCCTGTCTTTCTTGGTTCCTCCATCTTTGTTTCCCGAGGCTGTGTTGGGATGGCAGTGATGTGAAGGAATGCTTTGGGGCTTCCTGTCCCATGCAGGGAGAGTACTGTGCCTGTAGTCTTGGATTGCAGAGTTTATCTAGGGATTCTAACATTTACTCCACAGGAATAATTTATAACTTGCTAATACTTTCTGAGCATCTTAATGGGGCCTGGGTGAGAGGGGACAGGGGATGGGATCAGACACCTGTCTCTGCCTATAACTGGAACCAGTAATTTGAAACCTTTATTTCTGGCTTCCAGAATGGGGAAAGTTCTCTGCATAAATGAGGACACCAGAGAAATAGAACACAATGCTTAATAAAACCCGCTTTCAGTTTAAATGAATTTTTAAACTCAAACAGGATCATATTATACATATAGTCTAAAACATATATGTTTTTTAGTATGTCTGAAAATATTTTTACAAGCAGCACATTGGCTCTACCTCATTTTTTTATGGCTTCATAATTTTCTTCCAAACTATAAAGGAAAGTTTATTTAGAAGGTGACGAAGGTAACAGAAGGGCCCTCTGATCTTAGGAGAAAGAGGGAGAGAGAGACACACACCTTGAGGGATGAAAGAGGAAGGAGAGGCAGGGGTGTGCTTTGGAGAAGAGAGAGCATACTCATAATTTCTACCATGGAGATGTATTGTACTTTATTTCATTATTCCTTTATTGGTAGATATTTGTTTTTGCCTTTTTTCCTTTTTGATATTACAAACAAAGTTGTAATGAACATCCTTGTGTGTGCATCTTAAATATATATTTCTGGATGTCAGATGCCTAGAAATGGGACTTCTGAGTCTAAGGGAATATGCTATGTCTTGATATTCATAAGTAAATTGCCCTCCTATGAGGATATGCTAATTTACTCTCTCACCAACAGTGTGTTATAGCAGAGGCCATTTTAGAAAGCCCTTTTGAGATTGGTTCCAGTTCTTAAAACGCCCATTACGTTTGGAAAGGTCGCAGTGCTGGGTGTGTTTGGCTTTCTGGTAAGGAACTGCTGTTCTCTAGAGTAACATTACCATCTGTTGGCAGTCCTAAGAACTGCCCTGAAACAGGTTTTAGTTTGGATCTGATTTTTATGCCTTTGATAGATGCAAGCTCATCTTGATTAAGCACCAACAAAGGGGCTATAGAGACCATCAGCTCCTACCCCAGCTGCCCTCTCTGCAGTTAGCTCTGCTGTCTGTGAGCACCAGCTCCTTCTTTGGCCCTGGAATCATTTAGATGAGGCCCTGCTGCCTCAGGCCTCATCCTGCACCGGGCATTCTCCCAGGCCTTCACTGCATTTGAGACACCTGGTTTCCTTTCAGTTCCGCATCCACCTCAGGACCTTTGTCTATGCTGTTCCTTCCCTGGAGCACACTTCTCTCCTCCTTCCCTTTGCCAGCTCATCTTTTACTCATCATTTACTTCTCTGCTCACACATCCCTTCTTCCAAGAATCCTTCCTTGATCCCTTAGACCAGTGGTCATTAGTCAACAGAGCCCAATAACCAACAGTACAACAATTGAAATTTCTTTTGAGAGCCAAGTTTTTTAAACTTAAAATTCTTCTAACACCGTTTCTTCAGAATAGACTCACCCAGGCCGTGGTATTTTGCGGAAGAGCCACACTCAAGGGGCCAAAGAGCCACATGTGGCTCTCGAGCCGCAGTTTGCCGACCACGGCCTTAGACAAGGTCAGGTTGCCCATTATACATTTTTCTTTTGTAGGAAATACTTTATTGGCAATTATTTTTTAATTTGCTTAATTATTTAATTAAAGCCCACCTCTTCCATTAGAATATAAACTACACGAGGGCAAAGGCCTAGAATAGTACTTACTACATAGTAGGTACTCTATAAATATTTCTTGAATGAACAAATGACACAGATTTTTCTTAACAGGGCTTTACATAAAACATCTTTCAAAAATTTTTGTTACCTTGATTACATGTTCACCTCCAGGTGGTGATTTTTTTTCTTTTCAGTTCTGCAGATATTTCTACTGTTCTCCCTTTCTGTCTTTTGTTCTTGTCGACATATTTTTCTGTAATAGAAAAAAAAGACTACATGAAATGGAAAAGACTAAAAAGTTCAGTTTTTATTGTATTACTTATTATAAAATTAGTAAATGTTCTTGTAAATTTCCAAACAATACAGAAATATGTGGAGTAGAAAATGAAAGTCTCCTCATAATCTCTTCCTCCAGAAAACGCTGTTAATGATGTGTCTTTCCAGACATTTTTCTGTGCATATTCAAATTCATGCACATACCAGGCTCTGTTCTAAAGCACTTTACAAAAGTTCAGTCACGCAGTCCTCACAGCAACACTTGAGGTAGAACTATTATCATCCTGTCTTCCAGATGGGGAAACTGAGGCTTAGGAGGTAACTGCACAGTGAATAAGTAGCAAAGCCAGAACATGAACCCAGGCTCTAGGTTCACTCTTGACCACGGTGCTAGTTTTACCTCTGATGAGGTGGGAAAGAGACTTTTTACTATGTGTGCCCTTTAAATTTTGAACCATGTGAGTGTATAACATTCCAAAACATGGATAAAAGACTAAAAAATTCATGACAAAAAAAACTGTACACCAAGCTACCTTTCCTAAGTGACCCCCGGTAAGCCATCAGATAACACATTGTTGTGATCTCTTTGCTCCAGAGACTCAGGCTGGAGGCTGAGGAGAATGGGATTGTGGGTTTGATGATAATGTTGTACTGCATCTCTCCCATTCCCAGCATCTCTCCAGTCTCAGTGGGTTTGCTTCCGGGGATCTCCAGTTTCTTAACACACACACACCAGCCCTGTGTTTTAGCAGAGAGGCTTGGAGGAGTTGGGATAGAGCCACACTGGCAGGGTAGGGCCAGCGTCCTGCAGTTCAACACAAAGGCCTATCTCTGATTCCTGGTTTTCCCCCATTGGCTCTTGGCATCATTCCTTTTTCTGTAGGTGATGAGGTCACTGTTAGCTGGTCTGTGCTACTCCCCAGCACCAGAGTGCTGCTCCCCCAGAATGGATCTTCCGGCTTTGTGTAACTTCCCATGTCCCCTTCTTCTTCTCAAACAGACCATGGCCCTGAGAGCATGTGGCTTGATCATCTTCCGAAGACGCCTCATTCCCAAGGTAGACAACACCTCAATTGAGTTTCTACTGCTGCAGGCATCAGATGGCATTCATCACTGGACTCCTCCTAAAGGTACAAGTACCCAGAGGGGCTAACTCGTGGGGAAATGCCAAGTGTTACTCAGAAATCCACCTTGCTAGGCTCCACACAAGTCTTGCTTCCCAGTAACTGTGCAGCAGGAGGGTGTGAGGTATGTAGAAGGCCTGATCCTTTCTACAAACAAGGGCTCCATACTAGGCTAGAGCAAAACTGGAAACAGAACTCTGTGACTGAACCCCAGGACAGAAGCAGCACCTGGTTTTTGTGAGTATCATTCACCAGAGCGCCAGGACTCTGATGAATGGCTGGAAGGAGGAAAGGCTGGGCATTGAGGTCCTTGTGGCTACAGGTCAGGTGCTCAGAGTGAACAGCTCCTAGACAGAAGGGAGCAGGATGGGAGAGTTGGGTAGGGGAGGAGGAGGTGAAAAATAATCCAGGGTTGGAAGAAAACAAGGAAATGGGAACAGTAAATAAAATTTGCACATTTAAGTTTCACTAAAGAAAGACGAGATGACAAAAAAGAAAAGAAATGTTACGAATACTATGTATAGGAATAGTCACATTTGTCTCCTGATCTCCTATGTCACACTGAAAGATTTCAAAGGGCCCCTCCCAATTTTGAGAGGCTTGAGCCTGGGGGAGAAGTCCCCCTGTTAATGTTGGTGGGCAGAATGCTGATGTTGGGAAAGTGTGCTTAGAGACTCCCACACACTTCTGAGGGAAGGTAGACATCCTGGATGAGAGTCACTTCTGCCACCTCCAGCACCCCTCTCACCTTCGTCCTTCATGCATTACCTACCTGTCTTTGTGTGCATGATGCCATAGGAGGTGCCATACAGAGAACATTCTCCAGAAGCCATGAGCTCAAATGGTCTTTAAGTCCAAACTGCCGGCTGCTTTCTGTCGGAGCTGTGCAGCGGCAGCTGAGTCAGGGCAGTGCTGTGAGGACCCCAGGAACGAGGAAGGCCAGACTGTCCTGTCTCCGAACCAAGAAGGGAACAGCTAACAATTCCTGCTCCCCGTGAGCTCCCAAACCAGGAGGCCCCCAGCAACTGCTGGAGCCATGTGTTGACAGAGGCTGCCAGACTCTTCCCAGTCCTTCTTGGCTCTTCTGGGCAAACTGAGAATTTGCAGGAAGGGCCTAGCGGCAGGGCTGAGGGCTGCTCCCAGTCTGCAGAACTTCAAGTTCTCCTACAACAGTTTCTTGGCAGCTGTCTGCTGGGGTTTAGGTCTTGCCAACAAATTTTCTTAGAACTGTTTCTCGGCTTGTCCTTAGTCTGAGTTCCCATCAGGACTTTCCCTGTGAAACTGGAATCTGGTCTTGCTCAGTTAGAAAGATGAAAACAATTTGGAAAGCCTTGATAGCTACTTGGAAACAGCTGCTGATGCTGCAGTGCGTGGTTTTGAGCCTGTCTGTTGGCCCTGGGACTTTAGAGACCAATTGCAGACAGTGTTAACTCCTCACTGTGGATTTTAGGCAAAGTGCTCACTCTCAGCTCGCTCCCACCTGCCAAGAAGGGACTGCCCCTCCTTGGGAAAATCACTTTAAAGTCTCCAAGGGAAAGGTCTCCCTAAGAATATGGGATGAGGAAAGCTCCAAAGAATAAAAAAGCAGATGTCTAAGGGAGGCCATCTCTCTCACCATCAAAGGAGCAGTATTCTAGACCAGACTTGCCAAGCACATGGTCTGTTTCACTCTCTGTAGAGAAGATGGGGTGAGGAGGAGGGGTTTCCCAGACACTGCAGAGCCAAACACTACCTGCCCTGCACCCCGTTCCTAGGCATATTCAGATATTACCAATCTCTAGACTTCCTTCAGCCTAGCAATAGCTAGAAAAGTCACCAAAGATCCCATCTTTAAATCACCTAACCTGGAAAATCCAGCTTTGTGAAAGGTTATCTCCCCCTCCTCTTTCTGTTTTCTCCTAACCAGGCCATGTGGAACCCGGGGAAAATGAATTGGAAACAGCCCTGCGGGAGACTCAAGAGGAAGCAGGCCTAAAAGCAAGCCAGCTGACCATCATTGAGGGGTTCAGGAGGGAGCTCAATTATGTGGCCAGGAAGCAGCCTAAAACAGTCATCTACTGGCTGGCAGAGGTGAAGGACTATGACGTAGAGATCCGCCTCTCCCATGAGCACCAAGCTTACCGCTGGCTGGGGCTGGAGCAGGCCTGCCAGTTGGCTCAATTCAAGGATATGGAGGCATTACTCCACGAGGGACACCAGTTTCTCTGCTCCGCAGTGGCCTGAGCTGAAACACAGTCATTTGTCTCAGGAGGATCCTTGAGGGCCTTTCTGAGATGAACTCACCTTCAGCTCCAGGGAAGGTTGTGCTGGTCTTTGGCTCATCATAGCAGAGAACAGATACATTATTATTATATCACTCTGAGGCGAGCAGGCAAAAATCTTAGCTGGGTGGAAAGGAAGATGAAGGAAGAGTTTTTTTTTTTTTAAAGTGCATCCTTGTACAAAATAAACCTTAAGTTGCCTATCTGTCCTTCAAGCTGTTGTATTTATTTCTTGGACTCTTGCTCTTGGTAGGAGAAACACTAAAGTGAATTGGAACTCTGGCCCTAGCCAGAAGGAATCCTGTATCCATGCATTGTACCCCAGAGCAGCTAAGGGAGTGGGGCTCTCCTGCCTCCGGAACTCCAAGCACTCTCATCCCACCTCCCCTGAGACTTTTCTGCCTGTAGTCGGATGGGATATGCAAGTGAGCGGAACTAGAGCACAAGAACGGGGTCTGTTGGCTCACTAATGTATCTCACCCAGCACCAGTCACATATGTTGTAGGTGCTCAGTAAATTTTTTCTAAAATAATTAGAGATCCAAGGAACTTGGGGATGTAGTCCAGATCACAGCAGGGAGAAGAGGTTTAGTCAACTCTGGGCCACCACATCAGTGACACATGCACTCCAACCTGTTGGCCCAGTCCTGCCTCCCAGAGTCAGCATGGGCCTTGTCAGCATGACTGAGGTCACTGGCAAGTAGCAGGTCAAAGGGACTCTGCTGTGCTACCCAGCAGCCCTGTCGCTACACATGTGCACTCCTCGCCTGCAGCTGCCTTCCCCACCTTTAGCAACCCCTCACCATTGGTTTTTCTCTCTTCCCTCCTACTCCCTTTCTCCACAGCTCAACTGTAAGACCCAGAGGCGCAAGAGTTGGGTCTCAGCCCTCTTTTCCCTTGCTACTAGGGCTCCAGGAATGTAGGGCAGGTGTTAGATCCTCTAGCCCTTCCAGAAGCTGTTAGCAGCTGAGTTCATGTGGATTTTATTAGAGGGTTGTTGCCCAACAAAGTTCAGAAGATTGGGTGGGAAGGGTCATTGGCAAAGGTTAACCCAGATTACCAGGGTCAAGAACTATCACCTCCAGAGGAAGGAAAGAGAAGTCACCCAGGTCTTAAGCGGCTTCCAGATGGTCTCAGTCCCCAGTTCTCCCGTGCAGACAGGGCAGAAGTATTAGTGAACAGGATCTTGGAGCACCGCCAGGGACCTGAATGGTTTTGTTCCTCACCCCTCTGAGCAGCACTCTGAAGGAGGCCTGCTGCAGGAAGTTTTTGGAGCTTAATGTTCTCTTTCTTGGCCAGCAGGGACCACATCCCATTGATTTAATAAATGCCTTGCTGGGCAGTGGTGCCAAACCACAGACTCGCTGCCTCCTAACAAGGGCTGGCCAGCCCTCTGCTCTCAGCATGGGAGGCTGTGGAATTTCAAGATGCTAAGACCTCATGTGTCAGAGTGGAAAGGCATCTGGAAAATGACCTGATTTTGCTGCTTGTTTTTATAGTTGGGAAAACTGAGGCTTAAGAAGGTATGCTTTGAGGATGGGGTGCCAGAGGAAAAACTGCTTTAGAATATCTTGTATAGCTTTTTTTTTTTTTTTTAATATATTTTATTGATTTTTACAGAGGAAGAGAGAATAGAGAGTTAGAAACATCGATGAGAGAGAATCATCTATCAACTGCCTCTTGCACATCCCCTACTGGGGATGTGCTTGCAACCAAGGTACATGCCCTTGACCGGAATCGAACCTGGGACCTTTCAGTCCGCAGATCGATGCTCTATCCACTGAGCCAAAACGGTTTCAGCTCTTGTATAGCTTTGGGGTCATTCCTCTGGGCCTCACAGAGTTGTCCATTAAAACATGTACTGTGGCCCTGGCCGGTGTGCTTCAATGGTTACAACGTGAGCCCATGAACCAAAGGGTCACGGGTTTCATTCCCAATCAAGGGCACATACCTTGGTTGCAGTCTTGTTCCCTGACCGGGTCAGGGTGTGTGTGGGAGGCAACCATTTGTGTGTCTCTCTCACCTCTCTGTCTCTCTCTCTCTCTCCTCCCTCCCTTCCATTCTCTCTAAAAAGATCAATGGAAAAAAATATCCTCCGGTGAAGATTAACAAAAACAAAACAACACACAGCTTTTTTGGAGAAAGGGAGGGCTTGAATTGTATTCATTTGCTCACTTTGCAGGAAGAATTAACAGCATGGGACTAGGCAGGTTGTGGGAGGTAGATAAGGGAGGGAGAGAGTGGAACTGAGACGGGATGTGGCAGGGGAGCAGGCTTTGTTGTAAGCACCACTTTGCTTCTCACCAGCTGGGCTTGTTCAAGAGCTGTGAGTCTGAGGTCACAATTTCCCCTTTAATCGAAGGCCCTTCAAGCTCCAGAGCATCCATCTCCTTCTGGAAGTTTTTCCTAATAACCTCCAATCCTATAAACACCGTCCTAGTTTCCCCATCTGATCCCCTTGGAACTCCACTGGTTGTTCCCAAAGCCACTTCCACCACCCCAGGGTGTAGAAGCATTTAATAGACTTATCCCCACTAGGGTGGTCTGAAGCTTCCCCCTCTAACGGAGGGATTTAACAGAGGCTCTGGAAAACCAAAGTGCCTTCTTTTTTTTCCTTTTTTTATATTTTATTGATTTTTTTTTTTTACAGAGAGGAAGGAAGAGGGATAGAGAGTTAGAATCATCCATCAGCTGCCTCCTGCACCCTCCCCCCCACTCCCCCCCACCTTGGATGTGCCCGCAACCAAGGTACATGCCCTTGGGACCCTTGAGTCTGCAGGCCAAGGCTCTATCCACTGAGCCAAACCGGTTTTGGCCAAAGTTCCTTCTTGCTTCCCAAAAGCAACACCTCACACCCCACAGTAGGCACTTGTTTGCTGCCTTTCCAAACGTTTGGACAGCAGAAGCTGACTTCTCCACGGGCCCTGCTCTCTCCCTTCCTCCCAACTTGCCCGCGCCCCCTTTGCTTCCCTTCCCCTCCCATTCCACCTCCTGCTCAGAATTATGTAATAGGAAATTCCCAGCTGGGCTCTCTGAGGAGGGGAAAGGGGGCTAGGGAGGGGAAAACAGCACAAGGATACAAAACACAGAGACACAACCTCTTCCTGTTCTTAAGACCAGGAACTCCAGGGACAGGGTCTCCCCCTCTTCCTTCCCATTTCTCCCCTAACCTCACCCCCAGCCAAAGTCAGGGTTTGCCACATAAGGCCAAGAATTCTCCCCTCCCCTAATGGGTGAAGGGGGTCAAAAGGGACAAACTTCCAGTTATTTATTATTTATTATTTATTTTTTAAAAAAATATATTTTATTGATATTTCACAAAGAGGAAGAGAGAGGGAGAGTTAGAAACATCGATGAGAGAGAATCATCAATCAGCTGCCTCTTGCACACCCCCTACTGGGGATGTGCCCGCAACCAAGGTACATGCCCTTGACCGGAATCGAACTTGGGACCTTTCAGTCTGCAGGCTGACGCTCTATCCACTGAGCCAAACTGGTTTTGGCCAAACTTCCAGTTATAAAATGAGTAAGACCTAGGGATGTAATGCACTGCCTGGTGGCTATAGTTAATAAAACCATCTTCCATATTTGAAAGTAGCTAGGAGAGTGGATCTTGAATGTTCTTAATACAAGAAAAAAGTTTTTTCTTGTCAAATATTAATTGGACTTATTGTAGTAATAGAATATACACAAATATTGAATCTTATGTTGTATACCTGCAACTAATACAATGTTATGTCAATTATAGCTCAATTAACAAAAAAGGGCTATCAGCCTCTGTTTTCCCTATTAAAATGGTGAAGTGCATTCAGAAAAAAAAGCATTTTCCCCTCTGCTCAAGCTGCTGGGAAGATTGTTGGGTATCATGAAGTAATAACTAGCCTTAAGATAAAAACCAGGTTGTTCCCTGGGAACTGGGGTGTGTCAGAGAGGGATGGGGTGGGGGGGGGGAAGGGTGTGGTGTCAGCAGAAGTCCTACTGAGTCAGACAATGGTAGGAAGGGAAATTAAAAAAAAGAAAAAAAAGAAAAAAGAAAGGAAATCGCCCAGTTGCCGCTGTGGTTGGGTGTAGGCAGGCTGCCCCTTGCTAGGTTGTGCTATGGAGCTATTCCAAAAACAGAAGGTAGTGTTTCTTCAAATGCTTTTCAAAATATGTGTGTGTGTGTGTGTGTGTGTGTGTGTGTGTGTGTGTAAAATGGAAACAGAGGTGAGAGGAGGATTCAGATCTTAGAGGCCTGGAACACCAGAGCTTGATTTAATGCCTATGTGACATAATTAAATTTCAAAAAGAGTTCCTTGGATACTATGTGGATTGAGCTGAAAGGTCACAGAGCAGAAAGAATTATGAGGCGGCCAAAACTGGTTTGGCTCAGTGGAAAGAGCGTTGGCCTGCAGACTGAAAGGTCTCAGGTTCGATTCCGGTCAAGGGCATGTACCTTGGTTGTGGGCACATCCCCAGTAGGGAGTGTGCAGGAGGCGGCTGGTCCATGTTTCTCTCTCATCGATGTTTCTGGCTCTCTATCCCTTTTCCTCTCTGTAAAAAAATCAATAAAATATATATTTTTTAAAAAAGAGTTACGAGGCCACTGCAGTGGTCCAGACTAGAATTGATAAGGTCTGATGTGGGGTAGTGACCAGGGGCTAGAGAGGTCATCACTGACCTTGGGCTTAAGGAGGGGAGAAAGGACCAGAAAGCTCATTGGGGGGAACCAGCAGAAGAAGACTTGCTCTGGAGCTAGTTAAAGTGAGAAATATTTTACCCAAATCTGGAGGAAAAAGGGCAAAGACCCTTCCAGAAAACTCACATCTTGGTCTTAGAGAAAGGGCTTAGCCAGGGTTCAGCTGATTCATGTGGTGTTGGATGGGACACTGAGTCAGACTCTCATAGCACATAAGGCAGCAGAATGAGGATATTAGGCCTCAGCCCTAGATTTCCTTCAGTGGCCACTCAGTTCCTCTCCATTATCTCTGGAGAAGGGAGTTCCCATTTTGTTATATTATTCTAGCCCTGTCCCCCATCAGCCCAAGGGTGAAGGGGACACCAATGAAGAATTCTAGCTGCTGAAATCTCCATTGGAGAAGGGACAACCCCCATCCCAACCCAGATGTGTAGAGCCAGAGAGAGAAATTTGGAATGCACAGGAGGTGCTGGCAGGGAGGGGGTTGGACAAGCTGGAAGGGGCCAGTGTTCCTGGCATCCTGTGGAATAGGGGTAGCAGTTGCTTACAGCCTAATTCCCTCCCCTCTACCTGTCCCCAAGAATCAGTTCTCACAATTTCTGCCATTCCAGCTCCAACCCCCACCTCAATTTCTTGAATCTCTTTTATGGTCTCAATGAGGGAAGGGAAAACACTTCTTGGCCTAGAATCAGGCCCACTGGGTGGCAGCTTCACACACACACACACACACACAAACTTCAGCTGGCTTCCCACCTTGGAGGTATGTCTCCCGGCATCCTACTTTCCCATATCTCTTCTCTTGCCTTTCTCCTGGATAGTGTCCTTTGGAATACAGACTCACCTCAATGTATTCTATGTACAGAGGTTTGGAAGAGGATGTCACCTGTAGACCCAGAGGAAACCCATTGGGTTGGGAGGTGGGACCTGGAAAAATCCTTGTCATTTATAAACAAGAAAACAAGAAATTGTATTATAATAGCTACCTTTTATTGAGCACCTACTTGTGCCAGGCACTTTACATACATCCGTGCTTATAATTCCCACAACAACAACCTGGGAGTTAGGCATTATTATCACCATTTTACATATGAGGAAACTGAGGCTCAGAGAGGTTAAGCAGCTTGCTCAAGGTCACACAGCTTGTTGAAGAGTGGTAGAGCCAGCATAGGAGATAGGCATCTGTGAGTTCCCTTAAAATTGCATTAGGCATTCTTCACATTGAGAAAATAGAGGGGTGGGGGGCTGGGCAAGGAGATGCCTTCTCTAGGGGCTGAGGGACTGGTTCTGCTGACAAGCTGTAGAAGGAGGCTGAGCCATGCCCTGTTTCCCACCTCCGGGCTGAATCAAGTCTTCCAGTCGGCCTACTCCCTTTCTCCACAGCTCAACTGTAAGACCCAGAGGTGCAAGAGTTGGGTCTCAGCCCTCTTTTCCCTTGCTACTAGGGCTCCAGGAATGTAGGGCAGGTGTTAGATCCTCCGGGCTCTGGCAAGCTACTTCTCCAGACTTAGCTGAAAAGTCAGAAAGAAAAACAATTCTCTGGCTGAGATTGATCTTCTTAGGACAGAAAAATGGCTGAAATGAAAGACCGTACCCTGCATGTGTATTTGCAGGCAGAGATGTGCAGGTGTACATGTGCTGAGTGAAGCACACCGCCAGCACAGTAGGACTATGGCTTCCTTTTAGGCCACGCCCCTGCCACCTGTGCAGGGAGTGAGGCAGCTGAGCAATCTTGAAGGGGCTGTTTATTTCCTACCAGAGTTCCAGGGACATTGCCTGGGAAGAGGCCGACTCAACAATCAAAGCCTCAGATTTGCTCCCTGCCCCCTACCTCCAGGGGTTACCTAGTCTCAGGGATGTTGTGTTTGTTCATTCTGTAGATCCAGGGATGACACCTATACACACACACACAAACACACACATACACACAGGCACACACACAGGCACACAGGGTCTTGGGGTAAGGCACCAAGTCTAGCCTTCGTGGTCTTGCAAGTCTTTGTGCTGAGCACATATATGTGCACAAGGCTGGGTGCATGTGTGCACACAGATGGGTTAGTGCAGCGTTACGAGTCTCTTCACACGTAAGGGACAAAGATAGTGTTGTGCTGAATCAAGTCTTCCAGTTGGCCAACCAACCCCATCTCTTCTCAGCAGCTGGAGTGGGACCAGGTCAGTCACAGTTCAGGCCAGGGCTGAGAACTCAGGACCTGGCTTCCAACTCCTTTCTCAGTGTGGCAGGGGGGCTATTTTGGGACCTGAAAGAGGATCAAGTCCCCACTTCAGAGGGATAAGATGGCCACTCAGGCCAGAGTGGAAAGTGAGGTTTTTTTTCTTTGTGCTTTTAAAATCCAACCATGTGTAACAGGAACTGACCTTTTCCCTCGGAGCTCACACACCCCCACCCCAGAGAAAGGTTTTCGTAGACAAGGGTGAGCAGAGGTTTCTGTAGACAAGGGTGAGTGGAGGAAAGAGGGTTGTCAGGATCTGCGTAGGGGTGGGAGGTTGCTTCTGTGCCCCTCCTCTGGCCCTGCAGGAGCGGGTGGAGCATATTTACGTTAGCACCCAGGGAGTGGGTGGCACAGCGGTGGGGACTTTCCTGGGGAGGATACACGGGGTGGCTGTGATGGAGGGTAAACGGCCTGCATAAAGACGGGTGAGAGCTGTGGGGTCCCCGGGGCTCTGGGGGCTGGCTCAGGATACCCAGATGAAGTAGGCGATCTCGTCCAGGTCGACGGGGTAATCGGTGAGCAGCAGCGGGGTCTTGTCGAAAAGCTCACCCTTGTAGCTGCGCCACTTGCCCGCGGGCAGGTAGACGTCGCGCTCCTGCTTGCCGGGCTCCAGGACCGGCGCCACCAGCAGCGTGTCCCCGATGAGGAACTGCGAGTCGATGCGGTGCGCCGTGTCGTCGGCCGGCGCGATCCACCAGAGGGGGCGCACGATGGGGTCGCCCGTGTCCGTGACCTCGCCGGCCAGCTCCAGCAGCAGCGGCGCCACGAGCGAGGCCCTCAGGGCGGTGAACTTGTGCGCGATGGCCACCACCTCGGCGTCGTACTGCCAGGGGGGCACCGAGAACTGCATGGCGGGCATGAAGGCGGCCACCTCCAGCCAGCGCACGTACAGCTCACGCTCCGGCACCCGGCCGCCGCCCGCCGTGCGCTCCGGCACCACGTTGCCGCCCACCATGTCCGGCAGGATGAACGGGTAGCCCAGCATGCTGACGGTGAGCACGGCGGGGATGAGCGAGCGCAGCCCCAGGTCGTAGCCCCACACCGAGTCGCGGTCCACCAGGCGGAAGAAGCACGAAATGTTCTGGGACTGGTAGCCGACGCGCACCTCGGCCAGCGAGAAGAAGGGCAGCGCCATCTCCGTGTAGCGCCGGCTCCACAGGTTGGGGTCCGGCAGCGGCCGGTAGGTGCTGAAGTCTCGCGGGAGGTAGCTCACCTCGCCCGCGTCGAACTTGAAGGAGGCGACGCCGTAGCGCGCGCGCAGGCGCCGCAGGTGGCCCTGGAACCAGTCTCGCGCCTCCGGGCGCGTGAAGTCGAGCACGGCGCCGATGCCGTTCCACCAGCGCACCAGCGCCGGCAGCCGGCCCGAGGGCTCGCGCACGAACAGCTCCCGCTCCACGCCCTCGCCGAACGACGACGCGTTGTAGTTGACGAACGGGTGCACCCACAGCGTGACCTGGAAGCCGGCGCCGCGCAGGCGGCGGAACATGTCGCTGGCGTTGGGGAACTTGGCCTCGTCGAAGCGGAAGTCGCCGTAGGCGGGCGTGTACGAGTCGTCGATCTCCAGGTGGCTGCTGTTGAAGCCGTGCTGCCGGATCTGCCGCGCGAAGCGCTGCACTTTGTCCTGGTCCACCTCGCGCCCGAACAGCACCCACGTGGACCAGATGGGGTCGCGGAAGGTCTCGGGCGCGGGCACCCGCGATGGCTTGTTGAAGTAGCGCCGCACCATGTACTTGTGGATGGAGGTGATGTCGGAGCCCACGCACACGCGGTAGCTGAGCTCGGGGGCCGCGGGCAGGCCGGCGGGCGGCTTGTAGGGCGTGCGGCGGTAGCGGGCCTGCAGCCGCAGCGAGCGCTCCGTGCCGTTCCAGCCCAGGTGGAAGGGCACGGAGCCGTTGACCTTGATGGCCACCGCGCGCGACGACAGCCAGTAGCGTTCGAGGATGCCGCCGAACGCCGCGTCGGAGGAGTACACGTCGCTGGTGACGAAGGGCTGCGGCTCCTGCTGGCCCTCCAGCCGGATGGGCCAGTGCTGGGTCCTCATCTCCGCGCCGCCGTACCAGTGCGCCTCGTCGTCCCCCAGGAACATGGCGTGCTCCACGGCCTGCCCCGGCTCCGCCTCCTCCCAGCGCACGCGGTAGCACATGACGGTGTCCTTGGGCCGCACGGTCTGGATGAAGAAGTGCAGCGGCCGCCCGTCCGCCGTGCGGGAGCAGCCCAGCAGGGCGCCGTCGCGGCTGCAGGAGTCGAGGTCCAGCGCCCCCGAGCGGAAGGCCATGCGGAAGACCTGCTCGCCTTTCTGGTTGCGGATGGAGAAGCCTCCGAGTTTCAGGTCCAGCTGCTCCAGGCGCAGACGCTCGGCCTTGCGCAGGGAGGCGCTGTAGTAGCACCAGGCCACCACCGCTGCCAGCACCAGCAGCAGCCCCAGCACCACCGAGCCCAGCAGCGGCTTCACCTCCTTGGACGCTTTGGGCTTCACGGATGAGATGTTGTCAGGCAGGAAGGTGTACATGGCTGTGGCTGAGGCGGCTCCGGGACTCTCAAGGCCTGGGTGAGGCCCAGGGCGTCGGCGGGGGTAGGCCTGGCTCTTCTCCAGATTTTGGGACATTAGCCCTCAGTTAAGGAAGGAGCTGGCAGAGGGCAACTTGACAAAGCCCATCTGAGCCTGGTCTGCCAGAGTGTCTGGAAGGGGAAGGGAGAGGCGGAACGGACCCTCTCATTCCACAGTATTTCCATGTGCTGCAGCAAGAGAGAAGAGGTGTATGTACACTTTGGAAAGGTGTATTCGGGCACTTAAGGGTTTAAGACGTGGCAAAGGTGAGACTTACGAGGACAATTTGTATCTTACCCTTTCCCAAGGGCCCTAATGTTTGTCGACATTAGTCAGGACTCTGAATGGGGAGGGGCAGGTGGCCTGCATCCCATTTGTGTGGGGAAGAAACAAACCCACACGGGGTCAGGGAGAAGTCCAGATCACAGAGTATCAGACTTCATGGGATCGCACATAGGAGCAGTTCAAGCTGAAGAGGAGGGGAGGGATCTGGAGAGGACATGGTTCCCCAGAGATGTGCCATGGTGGGAGAGGGGAGGCATCATAGGGCAGTAGGATGTGTTTCCTTGTCCCCAGAAGGGGAGAGGAGAGAGCAAGAAGAAACAAACAGCTCAGGCATGGAATGTAATCAGAAGCCCGGTTGAATCTGGAGATTAGTTCTGTCCCAGGGCTTGGTTTGGAGGGAGGCAGGGTTGGGTTCAGACATTAGGGCTGGGGTCAGGAGCCTGGCTCAAAAGCCATGGTGGCTGGCTTCTCAGATCTTCCCATCTTTGTCCTCAAATTCTGTTCTGCTTTCAGCCACTGTTCACCAACCCATTTCCCTGCTCACCGTCCTGCTCTGCTCCCAGCACCATACCTTCGGCCAGCTGCCACCTGGCTTTGTCTCTGCCACTCAGCCACTATCCTGATGCCGCTGCCCTGGTTTTGGACACTGTCTCTTCTCCCCTGTACCTGGTATTATTGCAATACTCCCCCTATAGACCTCCATGCCCTAATTTCTTTCCCCCAATGCCTTCTGCTTATAGCAATCGCAGAGATCCTCCCAAAGGTGTGGTTCCATTGGTTGGGGTGTCGTCCAGTGCACAAGGAGGTCGTGGGTTGGAATCCCAGTGAGGGTGGATTTGGGGCGCATGCAGGAGACAACAAATTGATGTTTCATTCTCACATTGATGTTTCTCTCCCTCCCCCCTTCCTCCTCTCTCTCCAAAATCAATAGAAGCATGTCATTGGGTGAGGATTAAAAACAAACTTATCTGACCACATCTCCTCCTATTTACAGAGCTTCTCATGACCCCTGGGATGAAGTTCAGAAGTATAAATTTTGCAACTGAGGTTCAAGGCATAATATGATCTCATCTGCCTTTTTGATTCCATGTCCAGCCAGGCCTATCTTATGACTACCAAGCTCATTTTTACCCCAACCTAAATCCTTCAGGCCACTTGCTTTAGATTTCACCGACCCACCTTGGGCCAACATCTCTCCCCAGCCTACCAGGTCTCCAAGGGATCAGACGCCAACCCCCTCCCCAACCACACACATATACTCTCACGCACAGTGTGCTAAATGCCCAGACATGACTGGGAAACATAGACTTGGGGGGAGGTGTGTGTTGCAACCTGCTGCTCAAGGCCACCGACTCTTCCTGATTTAGCCCTCAGGACAAAGTCCAATGGAGAAATAGCCAGGTGCATACACAGACATACACACTGCCAGCCGGCCAGCTGCACCAGCACGGGGAGAGAGGGAGACTGGCAAACAGTAATTAGTCTCCTCCCGGATGCCAGTGTCTGTTTCTAAGTCCCCCAGGAAGTGTCAGAACTGTTCGGAACCTTTACCACCCCCACCACTCTCTTGAAGGGACCATGAAGAATGCCAGGTGCAAAGCAACAAGCAGACTGTCAAATTACAGCGGGGAGGGTAGGGAATCTGGGGTAGATAAGAGATCAACCAAAGGACTTGTATATATGCATATAAGTACAACCAATGGACACAAAACTCTGGGGAGGGAGGGCATGTATTGGGGGGGGGGCAATGGTATATGTAAAAAATTAAAAAAAAGAATGCCAGCTGCAGATCAGAATTCTGATCCCAGATTTCAATATACAGGTCCCTCCTACCCCCCATGTGCTGTCTCAGGGCCTCAGTCTCTGTGCTCTCTGCCCCCAATGCCCTAAGCTAGTTGGTTCTGGAAAAGCCTCTTAATCCCTTCCTTTCAGCCCCCATAACTTAGCTTTCAAACCTCCCACCCCAGTATGGATTCCCTTTCCTGTAGGTACAAATTAGAGAAGTTCTCCTGAGAAATGCAGGCTGGAACTGCATTGCTGATGACCTCAAGCTAAACAAAATCCAAAGATGGTCTTAGGTGGCCCAGGCCAGAGCTGCTATATATTTATATTCATTCATTCATTCATTCATTCATTCAAGGCCCCATTCTGGGCACCAAGAAAATAAATCGTAAAGGTCCACAGGGGGATAGGGTCCCCTCATTCTCAAAACATTCATATTAAATCAGACCATTTCATGATCCCTGGAGAGGCCACCAAAGTGACCTTAGAAGCCTTTTCCAACACTTAATTTCTGAGAAGCTTAACTTTCTAGGATTTGGAGGTCCTTTGATGGACAGGAGCCTACAGGCCTGAGCACCCACTCCACGCAGGCCCTGTGCTGGTCTCCCAAATGCCAGCAGAGCACCCACCCTAACAGTAATGCCAAAAAGGAGGCATAGCTACAGTGCCCACTGTACATATGAGGAAACAGTGGCCAAGTCAGAAAAAAAGGAATTTGTTTGAAGACGCCCTAGTAGATTGCTTCAATCCAAAAAGTCAACTTCTCCACAGCCTCAGGCTTAGGAGACAGGACATAACGGTCTGACAGGCTGAATGCAGCAGAGGAAAGGAGCTTTGTGGTCAAGAGGCTGGGACAGGCTTCTATCAAGTGGGTGTGGGCATGGTAAGGCCTGTTTTTCCATGGGCTGCTGCTGCTGCTTGCTCCAGGAAGGATTCTTGAGAGTGGGAAAGGGGCAATTTTAATAGCATCTGGTACCAGGACTAAGGGAGAAGAACAGCGATTCTAGTGTTAACGGTGGCGATACAGACTCCTGTAATCTGCTGCCTCCACCATCAGACCAACCACAGGCTAATGTCGGCAGGTGGGTTTGTCTCTAGCCAAGACTTCTCCCCACTTGGCTAGGCAAGGGTCAACCCCAATCTTGGCTGCCAGTCCCTAGTCGGGTATGAGGACGATGACCCGACAGGCCCATGTGAGGGGAGGCCACTCCAAGTGGATTAGTTTCTCGCGAACACAGTTCCCAGGGGAATATGTGGAAATGTCAAAGGCAACTCGATCCGGCCCATTTCCCTGCTCAGCGGAGGGATCCGGGAGATCGAGTGACTGGGCCTCCAGCCTGGAATGCTCCACCCCCACCCTCAGTGACCCGCCCAACAGCTGCAGAGTCCAAAGGGACAGACTGAGGTCAAGGGGCCCGTCTCCCACTGGAAACCAAGGCGACTCAGGTGTCCAGACTCTTCTCACTCAGCAATAGGAGCAAAAGTTAAGTGCGCTTCCTCAGAACCCGCCCCCTCCCCCAAGGCCCTCCCCCTGGACTCACTCACGGGCAGTGACCCCAAAAGTGGGGGTGAAGGTAGGCTCCTGCAGATCTCCATGCGAGCTGTCCCACCGAGCAAAGCGGAGCGCCGGCCAGTTAGGGGACAGCGGAGGCCCCGCCCCCGGGCTGGCCACGCCCAGGTGCTGTAGTCTCGCCCAGGGCCTCCGAGTCCAGCCCCGCCCCAGCCGCCGGACCCTCCTCCTTCAGTGTCTCAAGGACTTGAGGCTCTGCTCCTTACCCCTACCTTCCTCCTCCTCCTCTGGGCTCAACTCCCGGTATCACAGGCCAGCAGCAAGCCCAGTGCCTCCCGGGCCCGCCCTCGCCGGCAGGCCCGCCCCATAGGGGCGGTGCTGACCCGCATGCGGAGAGGGGGGTGGGAGAGGAGATATTATAGAGGAGTTGGAGGGTAAGATGGGTGGAAAAGGGAGAGGATCTGCTCCAGGTCTGCAGGGAAATGTAGGTTTGGAGGAAGGAGCAGCTGTAGAATGTTAGGCTTCTTGCACCTCCAAGCTAAATTTGGGATGTGTGTGAGGGATTCGTCCCCCTCCAGATTTGGGTAAGTGAAGGTGGTCTTGGTATAACACTTTTTAAAAAAAATATATATATATATTTTATTGATTTTGTACAGAGAGGAAGGGAGAGAGAGAGAGTTAGAAACATCAATGAGAGAGTCATCGGTCAGCTGCCTCTTGCACACCCCCTACTGGGGATATGCCCGCAACCAAGGTACATGCCCTTGACTGGAATCGAACCCGGGACCTTTCAGTCCCCAAGCCGACACTCTATCCATTGAGCCAAACCGGTTTCGGTTTGGTATAACACACTTACTAGCTCTCCCATATGGGGGGGGGGGGGGGGGAGTTTCTTATATGGGAAAAGGGTAGCGGAATTCCTGGAGAATCTCAGCGGCCCGATATAAGGCGGATCCAATCAAGGACTCCACGGAGGGACCTTGGTTTCACCAGCAGGGAGGCCCCAGTTGTCAGTTCTCACCAGCCCAGACCGACAGCATGGAGGTCAGGGACCTAGAAGACTGGCTGCCCCCGTGGTGTTTTGCAGCGTCCTGCAACCCCCACTCCCTAGTGACAGGCGTTGGAAATGGCTGCACTATGAGGAAGTGAGCATGTCCCGCCATACCCCTGCCCAGGGAGGAATGGGGTGCAAAAATACTGACGATCCCAGAGATTCCAGAACACCTCACTCCTTGCTTCCCAAGGGACATAAAAGCAGGGCTTTGTTTTGTCATTTGAACTTCCTTGGTCATAAAACCCTCCAAAATTGTTTTGGGCCCTTCCCTTGGGTTGGGAAGGACAGTAAGGTATATGAACACAGGCTTCTGCGGGGCTGTGATGGAGACTCCCGGGAGTAGAGATCAAGAGCTTTGGGTAAGGGACTGGGCTCTGACTGCAGAATGGAGGATTCTGGGATGAGAAAATTAGAGGAATGTTAGCTGGAGGGTCCTTTCTGCATGACTAAGTGGACCCATTTGTTTGGGCTCTGGGGTGGAGGGGAGGAGGACACCAGGTGGATCTAGGGCTACTTTTTAAAAAATATATATTTTTTTTATTGATTTTTTTTTTTTTTTTTTACAGAGCAGAAGAGAGAGGGTTAGTTAGAAACATCGATGAGAGAGAATCATGGATCAGCTGTCTCTTGCACACCCCCTACTGGGAATGTGCCCGCAACCAAGGTACATGCCCTTGACCGGAATCAAACCTGGGACCTTTCAGTCCACAGGCTGACGCTCTATCCACTGAGCCAAACCGGTTTTGGCTCTAGGGCTACTTTTATGTGTCAGGAGGGCACTCAGGGCCACCTAAGGGAAGTGCTGAGGCGATGGGAGTGGGGATGGCCCAGGGCAAGTTGACTCGGAGAAACTGCATCTTAGTGTAGGGAACTAACTGGTTGTAACTGGTTCCACATTGCCAGATCTTGCAGGATGAGGACACAGGAGGCAGGGGAATATGTGGAAATGTCAAAGGCAGCCTACGGGGTGAAAAGTTTATTTATTGCTCAGCCCCCTTGGCCTGGTCCCCCACTCTACCAGTAGGAGCTGCCAGGGTAATTCTCGGACAAAAACTCAGGGTGGATAATATAGCTGTTTCTCTGGTAGCCACCAGTCTTCTTAAAGTGACTTGTGTCCCACCTGTGGGAAGAGATGGGCCAGCCCTTTTGGACTCTTATCCATCTGATTCCAACTCTCAATGCTAACCCAATCCCAACGTTTGCCCCTAATCCTGACCCTAGGTTCCAACACTGACCTCAGGTTCTATGGTCAAATCTTTTATTTTCAAATCCCAGTCCCTATAACATTGACATTTCACCCTCTGCTTCAGTCCCTGAACCTAACACACTGAAATCTTGACTCTTCTATGCCCCACTGCCAACCTGTAACCCTTCAATGCTGGCCTCCACGCCTTCATGGAGTCCTCCATCTCCTTGCTAGTTTTGACTTCCCCATGGCACTAGCGCCTCCTGGTGGCATATTTTAGTCAATGCATCGCAGGGGACAGTATCCACCCCCAATAGTTCCACACACACCAACTCCCCCAACCCCCACTCCGCTCGCCCCGGGTCCTCCACCGCGCCAGACTTACCTAAGGTTCGGACAAGGGTAGTACGGCCGCTGGGGCGTTATTACAGCACAGTGCATCCCGGGCCGGTGCTCGCAGGGCAACACACTCCTGGAGGAGGAAGCGGCCGGCGGGAATGGTTGGGCCTTTTGATTTTCCCCAAACCCCCAAGCCCAGACCGGGACTCTGGTCGACGCCTCAGGTGTCAGTCCTACGGCTCGGAGATCCTCCCCTCAGGTCTCCTGAGCATCGCCTCTGGGGCAGGCACCTGAGTGCCCCCTCCCTGCAAGGCCTTGTTTTCTGCAGCCTGAGTTGTGCCGTGGAGGGAAGCACCTGCACTCTAGCGAGGGCCGGGCCTGGGAGACCCGGGGTCCTCGCCATATGGGACACTACCTACCCAGGGAGTGGTGTTTCTGAGCCTCAGGAACTTTCTCCCCCCATTCCCTTGTAAGGGTCGGGACCCAGTCTCACTCAAGGACTCAGTCTCTCTGCCAAGGGAGGGGCGCAGAGCATCACCAGGGGGTTAGGGACAGGGTTCCCAGGGTCAGCCCGCCCTGCCTGCCGCCTGGTGCGGAGAGAAGGCTGCATTACAGTCTGGGCTGGGGTTGAGCGCTCGGGCCTCAGTTTACCCTGAAGCGACACCCAAGGCTGTCTCCCTCTGGAGGAAGCGGTGCGGGGCTCCGAGGAGGCTGGGCTCCTCCTGGTGGCCCGGTCACCATTTCCTCTCTCATTTAGCAATGACCCTGCCCTTTGTTGACGATGGCTCCGGGGCCCAGGAACAGATGCTCCCCAGAACACGTCCCCAGGACCGGTGTCCGGGTAGGGAGTGGGTCTGGCGGGCATGGGAAGGGGATGCAGTTCTTAGAACAGAACCCTCCAGAACAGATGCAGGAGCTGGGGTGACCTTGGCCACAGCACCGGAGGGACCGGATCGGAAACGCGGGGGAAATCTTCGAGCAGGTTCTGCCGCTTCGGGGGTGGGTTCCAGACTAGGGGCCCGAGGCGGGGCGGGGCGGGGCGGGGCCTAGCGGGACTGGGCGGGGCGGGCTGGGGGGGCGGGGCCTGGCGCGGAGGCGGAGGCCGGCAGAGGCTCGGGACGGACCGCTGGTCTGGGGGCGGGGCCCGGGTGAACTGGGCGGGGCCCTGCGAACCTTACAGTGGGCTGCATGGGGCACTGAGGCTGCAGGCGGCGCTCCATGCACGGCGCCCCGGAGACGCAGTAGTCTATCCCGCGCAGGCAGTAGTGGCGGCCCGAGCAAGGGCTCTCGTAGCCCTGGAAAGGCAGGCGGCCCGGCAGCGGGTCCACGCACCCGCACCGCGGCGTGATCTGCGGCAGCGTCTGGTACCGCGACAGCGAGTTCAGCATGTTCGCCACCACCTCGCGCTCTGGGTCCGCAGGCCCCCAGCCCGGGAGGTCCAGACAGAGAGTCACAGGAATGGGAAGAGACAGGGTCAGAGAGAGAGAGAGAGAGAAAGAGAAAGAGAGAGAGAGAAATAGGGACAGAGACAGAGTTACACCCTCTCCAGGGCCTCCGGACCCCACCTCGTCCCACAGGTCCCCATCCCACTCTTTATGGCCTCCTTATACCCGTCCCGCCTCCTCTCCCCCTCCCCCATCTCTCCTCCCACCTGCCCCCTCCCCTCGTTACCATAGGCATTGAGTCGCTCCGGCTTAGGAGGGTACTCCAAGGGCATTCCTCGAACTGCTGTCTCCATCCCGGCTTCCTGGAAATGGCACACACTCAAGCTCTGGCCTAGAAGGACCCTCTTTTGGGGTCCTCCCTCCCAGCACCCCTCCCAATCCCGCCCTCCAGACGCTCCCCTCTCTGCCCCGCCCTGTTTGGAGTTGTCGTCAGGCAAAGCATTTACTCCGTCTACCTGGGAAGGGGACGGGGGGAAGGAATGAAACTAGTTGGAGCGGGTAGGCACCTGAGCGTCTGACAACCCTCTCTCAGCGTTTGCCTTTGATTTTGTCCCTTTTTGTCTAGCTGACGCTGCCTAGCTATGCCTCTGCGTCTCTCTAACAGGGTGTTTTCAATATTGCCTGCCCAGGAGAATCCCCTGGGGATTTGTGAAAAGTTCTGCTTCTCGAGGAAGTTCTGATTCAAAAGGGTTCAGTCAATCCAAGGTCAGCCAGCCATCAGCCTACAGCGAGAGCCTCAGAGGCCTCATAGTCTCCCACCCGCCCTCAGACCGGGGCTGCCCTGGACTCCTTCTTCCCTCCTGGGGTCACTCCCCTCAGTTTATCTGCATTGCCTCTGAGGGACCTTATTTTCCCTCCTTTGTCAGTGCTGACATCACAAAGGAAGGCAGAGCAGAGCAGGTAGACTGCCTAACACTGCCTCCTCCTCGGCCAGACGTGTGGGAGGAGCCAAGGAGCAAGCTTCCGGAGTAGATTGTGGAGGAGTGCACACTAGCCTAGCCCCATAGAACCCAGGCAGAAATTACTCCCGGTGACCTAGCACAGCTCCACTCCTGGGTTCCTTTGTCTCTTGGAAAATACAAACCCTAGTTTCACAATGTCGTGCATGGGAAAGAGACCTGGAGCAGTGCTAATGGATATGTCACTGTGGTTTGGGAGTTGGAGGTGCGTGTGCCCAGACACCATCTGTGCTGAGCCGGGTAGATACCTTAGGCAGCCGGGGAAGGCACGTCGTACACTTGTTCCAGCCACTGCAGCAGCAAGACCCCATTCTCCAAGAGTTACCCCAGTCACCACACAAATAGTTGGGGTTGCATCTGTCTGCTGGATTGTAAGGGTGGAGACGTAAGACAGTGTTACTCCTTATTCTACCCCAGGACCCCAGACTTCCTAAATGTTTCTCCTTTGATCCCCAGCACAAAACTGCATTCTCCCCAATTTCCCTCAGGCCAATCAAAGCCCAGCCTGGCCTCATAATTGTCTTCGACACTGAGATACATACCATTTTCTTTATTTTTATTTTATTTTATTTTGTTAATCACCTAAGGATATTTTCCCATTGATTTTTTTTTTTTAAAAGAGAGAATGGGAGTGGGAGAGACAAAGAGAAAGAAATAATCATTGTGGTGAGAGAGACACATCAATTGCTTGCCTCTTGCATGTGCTCCAACCTGGGTTGAGTCTGCAACCCATGTACATGTTCTTGACCTTTGACAGGAATCAACCCAGGGAAACTTTAGTCCACGGACCAATGTTCTATCCACTGAGCCAAACCAGCTAGGGCTGCAGCCCATTTTCTACCTCAAGCTTGCTTCTACGTGGGTCTGGGTGCTTTGAGCTGATTGCTTTTTATCTTGGCACAACCCTCTCTGAATGAGCCAATCTGGAAGCTGGGCCTCTTTCCAATTGCTCCCTCTATCTCATCTTCCACATTTAGTTTCCCAAGTTTGCTTATTCTGCCTCCTTAAAACCACGTGAATCTACCCCCTCTTCCAGTCTCTCATGACCTCTCTGTATCTCTGCAGTGCCTTAACCCAGAGACTATACAATGTTGTGATCAACAGAATGAACTCTGCAGACAGACTGCTTGTCTTTAGATTTCAGCTCTGCCAGATATTAGCTGTGTGTTATTTGACTGAGTTAATTTCACTGTAACTGTTTACTCAAGTTTAAAATGGGGAACTGTCTACTTTATAGGGTTGTTGTGAGATAAAAATGAATTAATATATGTAAATACTTGGAACTTAGAAAACTATTATTTTATTAGTCTACTGGTCTCCCTACCTCATTTTTGAAATCCTACAATCCAATCTCTACACAAAAGCTTTGGCACATTTTTTACAGATATAAGTCTGATCAAGACACTTCCCTACTTAAAACCTTTCAAAGCCCTCTTCACGTAATCACCTAAGTTGTCCAGCAAGGCCCTCTGTGATCCACTCTCCTAACAGTCTGAAAGAACACATATGAGAGACATCAGGAAAGGAGGTCTAGGAGCCTAGAGAAAGGGCAGCATGGTTTTGGGATTTGGAGTTCTGGGTTGGTGGGTTGGACACATTGAGTTTGGGACATTCATGTAAAGATGACCATAGTCAGATGGAGAGTGGAATTCTGATGAGAGGTCGAGGCTAGAAATAAAGACTTGGAGTTGTCAGTAAAGATGTTGAAGAGGAATAAGGAGAGAAGAGGGCTAGGATTAGCACTCGGAGGAACCCACTTTTCCAGAGCGAGATGACAAGATACCCAGGAAGTTGAGGCATGAGAGAAGCTGGGTAAGGAAGGAGTTTCAAGAAGTAGAGAGCAGTCAGAGAGTGAAATGCATAAGGTGGGTCTCATAAGTAAAGATTGAAAAGTATCATGGATGTGGTAGTTAGAACCACCCAAGAACAATTTTAATGTTTTGAGTGTGGAAGATGCAGACCTGGGCTCATCAATCCATTCAATAAGTACTTTTGAAGCTTGGTGCTATTTTTTTATATGGAGGGGGCACAGCTGTGATTAAGACATGACTCTCTGCTCTTTTGGAATGTACAGAGCAACAGATCATTAACATCTAGACAAATGAGAAAGATAATTTCTCATAAGGTATAAGAAGGAGTGAGGAAGTAGAAACAGTGAGTATAGACTGTTTCTGAAAATCTTCGTTGTGAAGGGGAGAAGGAAGAGAGACTTTTTAGGCAGGAATATATTGGAAAAGACTTACAGGTGGAAGGGGAAGAGGTGTGGTAAGGCAGAGGGATGCAGGAGAGATGGGGAACTTGATGAAAAAGGGTCACCAAGAAGTTGGGAGGAGATGGCACTTGGGTTTGTTTGGAGGAGGTTAATACTTCCTCTATCTCTCTGGGGATGAGACCTAGGCCTGTTCCAGTTCTTTGGCATAGACAGGGAGCTTCCAAAAGACAAGGCTGAATCTCCTCCAAGGTTAATGTCAGGTCAAGTGGTTTGGGAGTCAAGCTGGAGTGGGGATAGTTAGAGAAGAAGCCCCAGTCATGGGGGAGATAAGACTGATATATGATTGGATCTCAGTTGGGTTCAGATGGAGTGTCATTGTTGGGGTCACTGAGTAGGGTTAGAGTTGGGCAAGGGGTGAAGCCCTACCTTCCTCTCGAGAGAGCCAGTATTTCTCAGGCAAGTAGGGGTGGCCTGGTATGGAACTCTTATAGGTGTAGTCCCGCACAGCACATTTAACCATCTTCTCCAGGGATTCCTGATCCACATTGCGATGAAAAGTCCCAGTCAGGCCCTGTGCAAGGGGAGAGGAAGGAAATGGCTAAGTGCACAGAGACTCCAGCTTTGGAGTCCCATTGGACTTAAGTCCAGCCACTATTGAGAAGGTCAGCCCAGGTGGGTCTCCCAACCGCCTCCCATTTTAAATTTTTATTTATTCTAAAAAGTTGCTACACTTCTAACAAACCGAACAGTTTTGGCCTTGCATGATGAGTATCAGGGACAAAATATATTATAAATAACAAAAGGCAAACTAAAAAGTTATGGAAAATTCTTTGTTTGAAATGCCAAGGTATTTGGTGAATGTGTGTATAAAATAATTAAATTCCACGAAAACAAAACAAAACAAAACACCAAACAGGATAACACATGAATATTTTCTCCCCCGAAAAGTAAGAAAAAGAAATTAGAAAGAGTCCCAGATTTCAAAACCACCACCTATGCCTGAGGACTCCCATACCAGCCTTGGGCCCCTCTGAATAGTTCTCTTATTTGAGTTGCCCTTTGCTTCTTTCTTTTCATCTAAGACCAGGGCTTAGAGCCAGGCACTTGACTTTAGTCAGAATGGTTTTCTGATGTTTTCATTTCTGTCATTTTTTTTTTTTGACTGGGTGGTTCTGAAGGACAGAGTTGGAAGCTCCTGTCCTCTTTCTTCAGATTGCACACTGCCTGTGTTTATTTTTATTTATTTATTTATTTATTTTTAAAAATATATTTTATTGATTTTCTTACAGAGAGGAAGGGAGAGAGATAAAGAACTAGAAACATTGATGAGAGAGAAATATCGACCAGCTGCCTCTTGCACACCCCCTACCAGGGATGTGTCTGCAACCAATGTACATGCCCCCGACCGGAATCGAACCGGGACCTTTCAGTCCGCAGACTGACGTTCTACCACTGAGCCAAACCGGTTTCGGCGACACTGCCAGTGTTTAATTTTAACTCAGAAAACTAAGATTCTTTATATATTCTATATACTAATTCCTTGTCAGTCACATGTTGCAAATACCTCCTCTCGGTTTTTGGCTTGTTGTATCTTCATTTTCTCTGTGGTATCTTTTGATGAACAAAAGTTCTTAATATTAACATAGTTGAATTTATGAACCTGTTATGTAGTGCTTTTGTGATTTGTTTGAGAAATCCATCCACATGCTAAGATAATGGAGATAATATATTTTCTTCTAATTATAAGCCACAGTTTATTTTCCTTAAGCTTTTAATCTGTGACGTATTGCTTTTGGAGTTTGGTGTGATTTAGGGATAAATTTTATTTTTGTCTATATGGATAACCAATGGTCCCATTAAGTATCTATCTTCTCCCACAGATCTGCAATGTCACCCAAGTCTGGGTGTTGTGCAGTTTCACTGTGAGGCATCTAAATGCAGAATTCCTTTAGTTTATTCTGTGGCTGTGGATTCATTTCTTTCATTAGTTCTGGAAAATTCAGAGCTCTCCTCTCTTCAGATAATTCTTATTCTTTCTGCTTTTTTTTTTTTTTTTTTTTTTTTGGACACCAAGTAGATATGTGTGAATTTTCTTCTTTCCTACTGATTAAAGTTTCTTTCATATTTCCTATCTCTTTGTCTTTCTGTGCTGCATTCTGGAAAATTTCTATCTTTCATTCCAGTGAGGCTTTTAAGCTGTGTCTAATCTGTTCTTTAACCCATCCAGTATCCCAATATGAATATTTGGTTTTAACATATATGGTTTTCATTCTAAAATTGCTATTCAGTTCTTTTCTTACATTTGTCTGATATTTTAAAAATACAATCTCCTGTTGTTTGCTCATTTTAATAATTTCACATTTTATTTAAAAAATTCACAATTATTTCATATTCATTAACTATTAATTTCAATATCTGAAGTCCTTGGAGGTTTAAGACGGTTGTTTCTGCTGACTGTCACATCGTGGTTTGTTTTCTTATATCTCTTGAGCTCAGATTTGATTGGCCTTTATTTTTATTTATTTATTTATTTTTAAAATATATTTTATTGATTTTGTACAGAGAGGAAGTGAGAGATAGAGAGTTAGAAACATTGATGAGAGAGAGTCATCAATCAGCTGCCTCTTGCACACCCCCCACTGGGGATATGCCCACAACCAAGGTACATGCCCCTGACCAGAATCGAACCCGGGACCCTTCAGTCCCCAAGCCGACGCTCTATCCACTGAGCCAAACCGGTCCCGGCTGATTGGCCTTTATTCTAAAGGATACCTGGAAACATACATTGAGAATATTTTTCACCATCGAAGAGATACATACATTAATTGTGTGTGTGTGTGTGTGTGTGTGTGTGTTGGGGGCAGGGAGCTAGAGATCACTAAACTTTCTGGTTCAGTTTGGAATTTGTAGGTTTAGTTCTTCCATCTTCCAGCTAGCTGAAGACTTAAACTCCTGCTAGTAGCGCTGACATTTGTCTTCAGGACAATCCTGTCTTCCAAGTACACTCACCGCTCACCTCCGTGAGAGTACAAAATAACTTTTTATGCAGGATCTAGCTGTTTTGAAGCAGGAGGGTTTTCAGAGTTTTCTAGATCACCGTACTGCCAGAAGCAAAACCCTTTCCTTCATTCCTTTTTAAAAAAATATATTTTTGTTGATTTCAGAGAGGAAGGGAGAGAAACATCAATAATGAGAGATAATCATTGATCGGATCAAGCTCACAATCCAAGCATGTGCCCTGACCGGGAGTGGAACAAGGCGCTCATCCACTGAGCCTCGCCCGCAGGCTTCCATTCTCAATCCCACTGCTGCTCACTGAAGCGTCTGGCCAGGTTACTAAGTGTTACTACACCCAAGACATTCTTTTCTGTTTGGCATTTGATACTGATTTTTGTCGAACAATGCTATCTTGGTTGGCTTCTCTTTGACTTTCTTCCTATCACTGTCCCTTTTATGGCTCTTCTTCCTTTATTTACCCTTTAAATATTGATATTCCCCACAATTCTCAGATTGATCGTTTTCTTATTCTTCCTTCACAATCCTATTCACTCCTATGGCTTCAGCTACTACTGATATATTGATGATTTAAAAATATATATCTGTAGTCCAAACCACTTTCCTTTGCTTTAGAGCTAAGTATAGCCAACTATCTACTAGACATATTTTCCTGAAAGTCCTTGAATATTTTTGCCCCCAAATCCATTCCAAATCTCTATGATTCCAAATCTCAATTTGCAGCACTATCCATTCCTCTAGTTGCCAGAGCCCCCAATCCAGGAATCATCCTAATCTCTCCTCTCTTCTTTATATACTGATGGTGAACAAGACATGTTGATCTATTTTTTTTTAAATAGGAAATATTTTTTTTAAATGCAGTAGTTAGTTGTCTTTTTAAAAATACATTTTATTGTTTTTTTACAGAGAGGAATTGAGAGGGATAGAGAGTTAGATACATCGATCAGCTGCCTCCTGCACACCTCCCACTAAGGGTGTGCCCACAACCAAGGTACGTGCTCTTGACTGGAATCGAACCTGGGATTTTTCAGTCTGCAGGCTGATGCTCTATCTACTGAGCCAAACCGGCTTTGGCTATTAATTTTTTTTTTCTATTGAGTGTGGAAAAGCAGGCAGGCATGCTCATTTTGCTGGTCAGCAGGTAAATTATTACAAACCTTATTACAGAAATTTGAAGTGTATATCAAACGTTTTTAAAATGTGTATGTCCTTCCTCCTAACAATTTCATGTCTAAGAATTTGCCTTTAGGGAACAGTTGATGCATAAAAAGATAGATATATACAGAATAATATTAACAAGATTTTATAAATAATCTAAATTTTATAAATAATCTAAACTTCCATAATAACATATGATTTCTTCATACATTCATAAAATAAAATAGTATAGAGTCATTAAAATTATGTTTCACAAGGAAAATGACCTGCTATACAAAAAAAGCAAGATTCAAAATAATCAGTATACAATTTTCATAAAATATATTTGCTTTCTAAATGGGCATATAATAATAAATGAACAGTGGCTATTTGGGGTAGTGAGATTATAGCCTTTTTTCCTTTGTGCCTCTTTGAGTTATCCCCATTTTCTGCAGTAAGCAACAAATTCCCCTTTTCTCTGCCACAGTCTCTCCTTGTCTCCCACATACATCCTCTGCCCATCTCACTCTGCTTCCTGCCCTCAGCCCCAACCCCTTCAATCTCCTGCCACTGTAGCCAGAGTGGCATAACTCACAAACTAATCATGACACTGACAGATTTAAAAAACTGGAGCATTTTGTCCTTATTTCTTAACACAGCCTGAGGCCCTTCATGTCTGCAGGCTCCTCTCTTACCATAGGGCTAGTCCTCCCTCTGCACTTGTACTTCTCCATCCCTGGTGGGCCCCTGGCCCCAGGCTGCCCTGTGGAAGCCTCCTCCCCCTGAATCTCTCAGTAACCTGCCCTAAAGGCCCAGGAATGCTCTCCTCTTTCCGGCTCTTGGACCAGTGCCCATGTCTTTGCCGGGGCATGCTCCACACAGCACAACCCTACTTTATCCACTTGTTTGCTGAGCGCTCCTGAAAGACAGCCTGGCACATGTAGAACCCCAAGAGTTTGTTGGATGGTGCATACAGCTAAATTCCCTTACACAGTCACAATTAGACTCACACGTCTCTCCATTTTGTGCAAGTGGCACAGACCCAAGGAGACTGATATGCATACACAAAAACATGGCTATTGGGTATTTTCTGAGACATCTCTATTCTTTCAGCCCTTCACCTGGTCTTCTAGGTCATCTATGACCTCTATTTGAGTAACTCTCTCTGGTTAATTTCCATTTCCACTACCCTGTTTACTTCCTCTAGGGCATAAAAGTCTTATTTCTTAACTTATCTCTTTACATGAAAGCAGGCTCTTGCATTATTTTATATATCATTATAAATTCCACACCTAGGCAATAGAATGAAAAACACACATGCAACGCTACAAATCATTACAAACATAACTATAACCACACACTTCCAGTCATCCAGACATGCATGGCCATACACATTAGCCTGCCCCTATCCCCCACCCCAACCTCTACTTACCCGGGTCACAAACTTGTTGGGTTCCCAGGCCCACAGAGGTGGGTCATTATAGACTTTCTTGATGGAGGTAGGAGCCCTGTAGGAGTCAGTGTAGGTGCTGATGGGGGTCTTGGTCTTTCGGGAGAAGAGGAACATAGTGGGGTCTAGGGAATGCCCAGGTGGGCTCTACCTACCCAGGGGTCCTGCAAACCATCAGTGATCCCCCTCCCAGATAGCCCAGCCGCCAGCCCAGCAGGCGCCTATAGCTGCTGTGATTCCCTCCTATGGAGGACTCTCAACTTCCCTCTCACAGCTTTCCTGCTCCTACCCCACCCTGCTGCCCCCTCAGGATGGGCACTGCCCATTATGATATCACCTGGCTTAGTCCCAGCCCTGAGGAAGTGAGGAGGTCCAATTCTCTTCCTACTCCAGCCTTTTCCTCCCTCAAGTCCTCTCAAAAGAACCCGGTTTCCAAGAGTTCAGAGGGCCCCTGGAGATCTAGGCCAACCTTCTCACTTTGATGAACAGACGTGGAGGTTCCCGTGGGCCATGTGACTCACCAGGGGGATGCAGCAGGTCAGTGGCAGGCGTGGCGTGGGAACCCACGAGTGGAGGTAGGGTGAAATGTGCGTTCAGAGGATCCGTTTTCTCCCCATCCCAGCCCCCCTGCCCCTTGCCCACACCCCAGTCAGGGAGCTGAGGCGGGCTTGTTTGAAGCCTTTAATATCGTTATTTGTGTTACACGATACACAGTCAAGGGTGATGGTCAATACTGCGATGGAAATGTTAAAAAAAATATTATACACGGCTCATGTCTTCCACACACCTTCCCGGAAATAAATTAGTGAGCACGGAGAAACCTGGCTGGGCGGCAGCCAGAGCTGAAGGGGGAGGGAGTGTTAAGGCAGTATCTACAAGGGGGAAGAGTGGCAGGGGGCAAGCTAAGGCCTCAGTTCCTCCCCTCCATCCTCCCAGACAGGGGAGGAAGGAACCACACACTTCCTAGACCCAGAGGTGCTGGCTGCCAGCTTCCTACCTCTCCCTGCCCCTGTACACTGCCGCAGTTGGAAGCCCTTGCCTGCCAGGGAACGAGGCATGTCCTGTGGGGAGGGCGTTCTTCCCTGGTTCCTCAGGGCCAGAGGGGCTCAGCAATGGGCTATAGTCACACAGCAAATCAGCAGCAAAGGTAGCAGTCTAAACGAGCCTTGGTGGGGCCCTGCTTGGAAAAGAGGAAGTACCCACGTTCTCGAAGAGGGAGTCGAGAAACCCAGGTTGGCGGTGACAGTAGTAGGAGGGTTGGCTCTGGGCCCAGATGACAGGGTGTGGGAACCTGACCTTGGCAGGAGAAATGGGTACGTTTGGGGGGCTGGTATGGCCTTGTGGGCCCTGAAGGTTCGGTCTCTGTCCTTGCTCCCTTTGGCATTTTCCCATCAGCTAACAAGGGCCCCTGTTACCAGAGGAGGTAGGGGTAGGTTGGGGGTTGGAGCGCTTCACCTTAGCATGTGGGAGCTGGCAGCCCCTGGGTGCAGTACAGGGAGGGCTGCTGCCCTCCCTCAGCTAGCATTCTCTCATTGCCTCTCCCTCTCCCAGCTCCGCCTCCCAGGGAATGGGCTGTGAGGTGGCAGCAGGGAAGACTGGAGAGCACACCCTGGCCCTGGGATATGGGGTTTGTGGGGACGTAGACCAGAGCAGTCTTAGGCTAACTGTGCTTTCATTTTTCTTTACACGGGGCAGGTCTATATTGCCCAGTCCCAGGGGAGGACCTTGACTATCATCAGCTTCTCTGGCGTCTCCCCCACCCCAGCAACTGCAGCAGACAGCAACACACACATTCTGACTCACAGACAGCCCATATACCCACATACACAACATATACTCACACACTTACACATTCATAGACACACACACATGTTCCCAAATAGATCTGCATGCATTCAAATATACACAGATCCCATAGGAACTTCTCTTTCTCTGTTTCATACAGACATACAACTCAGGAAGCCTCATGTGTGTACTCAAAGACACACAGAGACCTCCCTATACACCTTCACAGATATTCCTATGAAGAAGTGTCTTCAGAACTTGCAGACGCTGCTCATTTGACAGTTGAAGCCCAGGGAACAGAGTGGCTTGTTGGAGACCACCGGGACAGTGCCAGAGCCGGGGCCAGAACAGGCTGAGTCCCAGTCCAGGGCTCTCAGTCCACTGCGCTGCTGAAAGGCCGCTCACACCGTTAAGCAGAACACAGTCACTTCCTCACCGTCTAAAAAGACAGGCTCACACAGAGACAGGCACACACGCACACACATATCCTATCAAGCTCTCCCTACCGTACACAGGCAGCCATAGTCTTCCCTCAGCTCGCTCCCTTGAAGGTTCTTACTGGGAAGAGAATTGGAGCTGCTGCCCTCCCTCAGCTAGCAGCCTTGTTCTCTCATTCCCTCCCTCTCCCAGCTCCGCCTCCCGGGGAACGGGCTGTGAGGTGGCAGCAGGGAAGACTGGAGAGCACACCCTGGCCCTGGGATATGGGGTTTGTGGGGGCATAAACCAGAGCAGAGATGTCGTTCAGAGGATCTTGGGCTGGAGTGAGATGGGAATGGGGCATTCGAGGCTAGTGTTATCTCTTGCTTCCAGCCTGGGACAGAGACCAATGAACAGAAGCATTTGTGTGTGTGTGTGTGTGTGTGTATGTATGTGTGTGTGTGTGTGTGTGTGTGTGTGTGTGTGTGTAGGGGTTGGCAGAGAGATACATTGGTTAAGGGCAGGAGAGGACAGATTATATCATCCCAGCCATCACAAACTCTAGCCTGTCTCTAAGGCCTCTTACCCTCAACTCAGAGAACAAGGAAGGAAGGAAGGAAGGAAGGAAGGAAGGAAGGAAGGAAGGAAGGAAGGAAGGAAGGAAGGAAGGAAGGAGGGAGGAGATGAATGGGGCAAAGAGGAGGAAATAGGCAGTGATCCGATAAGTAGGGGACAATATTTCAATGGGCAACTTTGCCAGGCTTCCCATCTGGAAATGAGGGGAGAAATGCAAATAGGTACGTGGCCAACAGGGGCTGCTGGAGGGGCTCCCAGGTTCCAGGCCTTGCCCCCACTCCACTGGGCCTTTCTACCTCAGAGTCCCTTTCCTTTCTGGGCTGGGGGTTCATGGCTTCATGGGGTGGGGCCAAGCCCCTGGCTTTGTGGTCCCTCCCACTCATTACTGTTGGCCTCCCTGCTGTCCAGTCCCCCACTCTCCCACTGGACCGTAGCTTCGGGGAGAGCAAAAAGGTGCTGGGCAAAGTCCCCCGAGTGACTGAACAAACAGCCCCTTCCCCGCCTCAGTCTCTGGGGTAGAGAGAGACCCGGGTTTGGTTTCTCCGGCTCCATGAACACACAGAGGTACACGTCCTACCATAGGAGGAAGCAATGACTGTTACGAGGTTGGCGGCTGTAGGGGACGCGGGGCCGGGGGGCTGGCAGGAGAGCTGGGGAGGGGTCCGCCCCTGCCCTGTCTGGCCTGGACCCCGGTGGCCCGGCTCCGGTGGCTGCGGCGGCCCCGCCCACTACTGAATGTGGCAGGCAGTGGAGGACGTGGCCTGGCAGCACATGCAAGTGGGGTTCACGGACTTGGGGGGAATGAGGTCCAGGTCTTCGTCGTCGGGGATCTCATCTAACCGGTAGCCATCCTTCAGCAGCTGGATGTTCAAATCTTGGTTGATCTGCTGTAGACAAAGGGGAAGGAGGTCAGGCTCCAAGGACCCAGGGGCACCACCCACAGCCTGACCACATCCCCAGGCCTTCCCCAGATCTGTCCCATCCCAGGTCTCTCCAAAAACCCCTGGCTTCACCCCCAATTCAGTGCTGGCCTCACTTTCTTTACAGGCAGTTCCTTATGAGGCTCTGTCCCATGGCAGGACCCCCCTCTCCCCCCACCCATTCTACAGGTAACTTCCCACCTCAGGCCCTGTCTCTATTAGGGTCCTGCTCCTACTTGAGGCACATCCCCATAAGGTGTGGTCTGTTTTTCACATTGCATTCTATTTAAGTAACAACCCTCGGTTCAAGTCCCACCCCTAATCTCAGGATCCCTTAAATTGAGGCCAAGGTCTAACAGCCTCACCTTTATTCAGCTCTGCCCCCTTTAGGACCCACCCCACAGCGGCTCAGCCTGGCTTTGCCCATAGCACCCCTCAGGTGTGATTTGGCATTGGCCCATCCCTGCTCAGAGGGGTGTGTCTAGGGCCTCACCTCAGCAGAGGAGTAGCCAGAAGAGGAATATCTGGACATGTCAAAGTCATCATCGCTGGCCACGGAGAAAAGGAGACAGAGGGAAGTGATTAAACAGAAATTAAATAGAAAAGTCCCTGCACTGCCTCCCTAACCCCCACCAGTCAATACCCCACCCTTCCAAATAAACAGCACAATCTAAATGAAAACTGCTTGCTGTACAAATGCAGTTCGAAGACAAGTTCCCTAGCCCTGCCTTTCTAAATAAATTGCCACCCTTACCCTCTTTCTGAGTGGAGATGCTATTCCTTTCCCCCCAGCCCTCCCCCTTTTTATCTAGGCTCAAATCGCCCTGGCTTGTTGAGTTTTCCCAAAGTCCAGGTCTAGCCAGGTGTGCTCCCAGCAGCAGGGCTGCTCCCTTCAGGGGCAGGGTGTTAAGCATTGAATCAGTGCCCATTCTCGGGGCAGCCATTGGGTCAGCTGTCCCAGAATAGCAATAGATTGTACCAGTCCCATTTCCCTCTCTCTACTCTTCCCCACCTCCAGGTAAAACGTTCCAGTCCCTGAGGGCTTCATCCTCGGAGAGTTCCTGGCTGTCTGAGGAATATCTCAATTCTGGCACTCTGGCAGGTGTGGCCTGTCCAGTCCACCTGTGTGCTCACAGGCTCCTGTGGCTTGCCCAGCTGCCCCAACACCCCTGTACACACCTGTCAGTGTCAAGGGCTACCAGTGGCTTCTCGTCTGGGCTCTGGTCAAGCGAGGAATAGCCTTTATTGGGGACGACCAGCCTGGGTGGAGAAATTGGGGGATTGGATTGGCAACAGGAACTGTGTTGGGCCCTGCCCCACCACTTCCCCTCCCCCTCCCCCTCCCCCGTAGATTCTGCTGAGATTCTCCGCTCTCAGAGAGGAGCTCAGCCTGAGGAAGGAGGGAAGAGGGAAAAACTCAGGACCAACATCGGAACAGATGCTGACTGGCAGGGACCAGGTGGGGTGTGTGTGTGGGGGGTGTCTACCTTGTCCGGGCCATGACAGTGTTCTTCTTGGGTTGCTGGAGTACAGGGCTACCCATACTTCCGTTCTTCAGGGAGCCCTTCCGGGCCAGCTCCCGTTGCTTCTCTGTAGGGGAATATGGGAAGGAAGCTGTGTCCTGCCCCCAGGGCCACCTTACCTTACTGCTCAGGGCAGCCTAGGCTGGGCCTCCATTGGGAAACTCTTCGCTTCTGTAAGCATTGTGGCAGGGATCCTAATTCTAGGCTCTGCTGCTCAGTGGAGACATGACTTGGCCCTGTACATCCTGAGGCAGATAGTGAGGGGCAATCGGGGAAAACTGACCCCTGTCTTCCAGGAGCTGTACTCCCATGTGGAGCAGTTAGTGTGTCCTCGATGCCAGAGAAAGGCTAGAGAGGGAGAGGTGGAGCAGAAGGCTGGGGCTGTCAGGGCTTCCTACAGATGACATCTAGAACTGGAGAGAGCAGGGCATGCTAGGAAGGAGGGATAATGTACACAAAAAATGCATTTACAGTAGAAGTGAGCATAGGAAGTGTGGATCTGGATGGGATGGAGGGTGAAGATGGAGGACAGGTTGAAAAAGATACATTTATTCAGTCATTTGTTTATTAACAACATCTGTGTCACCAATCCCAGGACCTGTGCTCAGGGCATGACTTTGAATGCCAGATAGCGGGGCTTGGGATTAATGTGGAAGGAAAAGGAGCCACCAAGTGTTATGGAGTAGGAGGGGCAGAATGGGGCTGGCAGGCGAAGGGGCAAGAGGCTGGAGGAGCCCCTCTGGCTACACTCTGACTCTCCTCTAGCCTCTTGAGCTCTCTGAGGCCCCAGAGCCCACCAGACTCATGGGACTGGCCACCAGGTGACCTACTGTCTGGTGTGTGTGGCACTGTTACCAGGAACAGCAATCCGCCGGGGCCCCGGAAGGGGCCTGTGTACCCCTTCCTACTCACCCCAAGTAGAGCTTAGATGCTGGGAAAGGGACTGTTGGGTGGAGAGGGATGCTAGGGGAAAGAATGGGTGGGCGTTTCTAGCAACTGTGACTCTGGAACCTCCTCTGACTGTCATGTCTCTGACTCTCTCATCGCCAAGTGGCTGACCCTCTTTACTTTGCCACCGCTCATCTGACTCCTTCAGTTTTTCCCCAGCCTCTTTTCAACAGGCAGCAGCTACCATTACCACTCCAAGCCTCTAGGGGGTGCAATTTGCCTTAAAATTCCTGGAGGTGGTGATGGAGATTTTTCCCCTGAGTGCTACTGGGCAAGGTTTTGAATTTTAATGAGGAGTTTGGTGGTAATGTAACGGAAAAGGAAAAAATTGTTATTTTAAAAGCATGTTTGAAAGTGAAAAAAAATGCAAAGAATAAACTGGCAAAACCAAACTACAGTCTACTATGCAACTACTTAAAAGAATGAAATCATTCTCTATATACTGACATTGGAAGAAGCTCCAAGACATTAAGTGGAAAACAAAAACAAAAGAAGTTTCAGAAAATGGGTACAATATGGTACCGCTTATGTTAAATACAACAAAAACTAAAAGACAGCCTAATGGCTGTGTCTCAGTGGTTAAGCATCGACTTATGAACCAGGAAGTCATGGTTGAATTCCCAGTCAGAGCATATTCCATCCCCAGTGGGGGGCGTGATTCTCTTTCATTATTAATGTTTCTCTCTCTCTCTCTCTCCCTCCTCTCTCTTCCTCTCTGAAATTAATAAAAGTATATATATTAAAAGTAAGAAACAAAAACTTGGAATGATTAAAAGAAGTTATACTTGTTAGAACACTTGTTAAATTGTTAAATTAAACAACAATACACAAAACTCGCTGTACTTTGAGTCTGATATCTTTGGAAGAGGAACAAATTCCGCTGAGAGAACTGCTCTCTTGTTTAGAAAAACAGCCTGGGGGTTCTCTAGCTGTGGTCTGGAAGGAGAAAAGCAAGGTAAAAGACACACAACTTTTTAAAAAAAAATTAAAGAACAGAATTCCGTGAAAAGGGAGTCCTGGCAGCTGCAGTGGGAGAAGGTTTAGGATTGGAGGTTTAGGCTCTTAGGACTGCTGAGGGGTGGGCAGCTAGAGCCTGAGGAGAAAGGAATGGCAGAGGAGTTCTGAAGGCTAGTGATTACCTGCATTTAATTGTAAACTCTCCTGGATGTACTGTGTTCTAATTTCTCTTAACAAACCAATTTTTTAAAAATAAAACTCTTCAACCGAAAAAAATAAAAAAAATAAAATAAAAATAAAAATAAAAATAAAACTCTGTTATAGGAAGCAGCCTTGGTCCCTGAAGAGAGAGGGGCAGTGTTCGGCCTAGGTTGAAGTGAGAACAACAGCTGCTGGAGCTATGGGCAGTGGCTGGGATCCAAGTGACTTCAAAGAGCAGGCTGTAGCATCAACTGACTCCAGAATGGACAAGAGAAAAACCCCAAGGGAAAGGTGACCTTGGAAAGGGGGAGAGATACTTGAGTTTATTAAAAAACGCTAAGAAAAAGCTCCCCCAAACTGGAGCCCACTAGGCTCTGAGATGTCCGGACGGGCTGAGGATGGAATGGGGTGAGAGGTTCAGCTTCTAGGCTTTGGAATCCTCATTCTTTCTACCCCTCAGACATAGCAACTGCCACCCACCTCTAGGGCAGCTTCTCAGCCTGGTTCAGTGTTGAATGGCACTGCCATGCCTCTATCCCTGCAGCTCTCCCCTGGAATATCTGGAGCCATCTTGGCCTCAGAGATGCCTCCTAGAGTTTTGGGTCCTGCAGAGAACTGTAACGTCCCTCTTTGCTTTGCAAGAAATAAGGTACCTGGCAGTGACAGTGACTTGGTGGCTTGAGTCTTGGAACCGTTTGGCCCTAGGTGGTTTCATGTGTGGCACCATGCTGCAGACCCAGCCCAGAGCACCTCGTCCATTCCCCGCATCTCTCTCACCCCCCAGACCCACTCACCCAGCTTTACTTGGAGCGGGGATGGTTTGTAATTCATGGCTACTGACTCACCCTCCCGGGCATCACAGTCTCCGTCTGAGATGGAGGCGGCGGCTGGGTCCTGGCAGGGAGAAAGCAGAGAGACAGGGAGTTTAAGGAAGTGAACACAGGAGGCTGCTGCTCTCAGCCCTGAAGTTGCCCTTCCCATCTGACCCCTGGACCTCGGAGGGCATCTGCCCCTGGCAGCAGGAAGGAGATTCAGGGAGGGAGAGGCAGACCCGTCCACCTTGAGAGGAAGATCCTGAACTGGGTAAAAGAGCCAAGGATCCAGCTTCACTTACACTCACCTGCATGTCTATGTTCAAAGTCCTGGGTAATCTGGCCTCCTGTAGAAACCCCACCGCAATTCTTGAAACCCACAGGATCTCCTTCTCTAAGCTCCCATACTAGTTGCTTGCACACCAGAGCCCTTCCCGTGTACTTGTTTGGAAAGGTCTTTCTAGGTTCCTGTGAGTAAGTCTGCATTAAGGTCAGAGTAGCTCCTCCCTAAGACAGGCCTTCTCCTCCCGCCCCCACCCATTGCCTCTAGCACTGGACAGGCCCCTTCACAGGATCCAGAGAACTGACTGGCCAACCAGGCCATACAAAAAAGAGTTCTCATGAGGACTTCTCTGTTTCACAGATGAGTCCTAAAAATGTCTTCTCGAAAGCTAAAAGGTTGGCTGTGTATGGTAGGTGAGAAGACAAATACTGACAAATCAGCTGGTGGTGAGTTAGTTCCGAGTTGCTTGCTCATTAATCTAGCCTCACTCTTCCCTCTGAAACACCACAAACCCCTACTACAAGAGCCAGGTGCTTGACCCACCCTACCTCAGTCAGGTGGAAGGAGTCATTCACGTTCTCCATGAGAAACTGATGACCTGTGGACATGAGTACTGCCATCCAACGTATCTGCCTAGAACTACAGAATCTGAGGACTGCAGAGTGGATCCAAAGCTGTGCCTGGTCTGTCTCTGGGGATGCAGAGAGCAGTCAGAGGCAGGTAGAATGCTGCAGGACGGCCCCACAGTGTCAGGCCCAGAGATCTGAGTGACTACTAGTGACTCAGCAAAGGAAGGATATACTAGTGTACCGGTTAATAATGCGAATTTTTTTCAATAGAGTTCAAATTGATTATTTGTTGTTAATAGAGATCAGTATTAATGGTTTCACCTGGTTTTAGAAGCTCATAATACACCACACCTTCCTGATCCCACCAAACACAGAGCATTGTCTTCTTCCCAAAGCAATTTGGCCTTGCAGTTGTTGCTGATGGTTAACCTAGATCAACCCATGATTTTGTGCATACGGGATTCTCAAAATAAATCCACTTTTCATCGCAAGTCACAATTCGATGCAAAAAAGACTTTCTTTCGTGCTGTTGAAGCAACATTTTACTGATGACTTTTCGGTTTTTCATTTGTCTTTTGTTCAGTTGATGTGGCACCCGTTTTTCTTCCTTTAAAAATCTTTCCCACTGCTTGTAAATGATTGGAAATAGTTTGCTGAGCAATGTTTAATCTTCCATCAAGTTGTTACTGAGTTTGACACGCATCTTCATCTAATACTGCTTGTAATTGTTGGTCTTCAAACTTTTTCAGCTGACCTGGACGTTTTTTGTCTTTCACATTGAAATCATCACTTTTAAAGCTTTTAAACTAACGTTCACAAGTATCTTGAGATGGAGCATGGAGTATGTTCACCATAAGCTTCCCAAAGTATATGATAACTTGTAGCAGCATTTTTCTTCAAAATAAAGTAATGCTCTTTTTTTGGCACAAAATTCGACATTTTTAAGTGTAAAAATATCTATGATGTTTACACCTTCAGAAAATTTGACATATAAAGTTTTGAAGCTTGTTGTCAATACAACCAAATAGCATATATATCAAATCGCATATATCAACATATGTGTAACTCCATCTATTGAAAAAAATCTGCATTATTAACCAGTATCCCTAGTATACTTATTATGGTAGCTTCTGTTCCCTTTAGAATGAGGCAGTGGAAAAGAAAACATGCTTGTCACCAAGGAGAAAGGGAAAAGTCTAGAATATTTGGGAAGGAAATCCTGACCTTATTTGTATTCATTCAAGACACCTAAAGCACAAAGCCCTGGGTGGGCTGTGTTAGCAAGTTCCTGAGGGCAGAACCTGGGCTTCTGTCCTCTGCTCTGACTGCCAACCCTTAGCTGTGGTTGAGGTGGACCCGGCAGGAGGCTGTGCTGGAAAGGTTGTGTGCTGCAGTAGCTGCATCTCAAACAACTTCCCATGCCACAAACCTTCCCAATCCTTCATCCGCTGCCTCCCTGGCTCAGCTCCTCCTTGGGAGACTTTTCCGACAGCACCTGTTCCCTGAAGCCTTGGAGAAGCAGGCCTCCAGTGGCCCTTACATGCCTCTCTGCAGCCAAAACAGCCTGGCAGGGGCTACGGGTAGGAAACATGGAGACCTGACGGTTTGGGCTCTGGCTTTCCCTTCAGGCCACAGGAAGGCTCACTCCCAAAGCAACGTGAAGAGGCTTCTCAAAGGTACCTGTGGGACCCGACCAGGGGAGCATTGGCACATTTACACTTTCCTAGTCACATTCCTTTTTCTGTAGCGTTTGTCACATGTCACACATACCACATCCGTTTGGAAGTAGTTTCCTTCACCGGCTTTCAGGGCACTCATCTCTCTCTCATCCACTGTCCTTTGCTTCCTCTGCAGGGTCCTGCCCTCAGTCCTCCGCTCTCTCTGGGGAACCCTGATATCGCCTACAGTTTGGATTAACATGTTTACACTGGTGACTTCTAAACCTATAGCCCTCCAACCATGCACCCTCTCCATAACCCTGCACCCCATCCATCCCAGGAGAGTGGTAAGCCTCACTGTCGTTTCCCTGGGCCGACTTTTAAAACACAAACATTTGGGCATTTGGGGCTAATGTTTTCCTCTCCAGTACAGATGAGTTCACCAGTTTCTTCTCTCAGGCTGGAGGTACTTGGCAGCAATGATAACACCGCAGGAAGGAATGGGGCCGGACTGGGGGCTGGGAAGCTATTGAGCAACTCCAGTCTCAGGGACCCGCATGTGGTCCTTGAGGACACTGGGCGGGTCCTGGTGCCATTTGATCCCTGAGTGAAAATGCCAGTCCCTTTAGGTCATGAGCCAGGGTGCAAAGCCCCAGACCAAGAGGGCACATGAAAAACCCACCAGGCAGCATCTCCCTGTCACTGTCCATGATGGAAGGCCATCTGAGGGGCAAAAACAAAGATCTTGGGCACCGTGCCTGCAAACTCAAGCCTTTCTGTGGGCTTCCTGTATGTCTTTCCTGAGAGATGTAGCCAATGCACTGTGATCATCACATGGAAATGTAATCAGGGAGATTAAATGTGAAATATTCATGAATATAAGTATCAGAGAGGAACCCAGGCAGAAGGAAGCATCTGGCTCCAAGAAGTCAGGGAGAATTTAAAATGTCCCCAAGGACATCTGACAGGAGTTAGATCAGGGAACCAGAGTGGGGATTAGCAAGATTATTAATAAACACTCAGCAGAGACAGACATTGAAATTCATCCCTAATAGCAACCCATGTTTCTGCAACCCTTCAAATTCTCCACCGACTATAGAAATGATTAATAGCCCTGTCTTACTGTTTCTGGAATAGGATATATATAGGCTAATGGCCAGCGCAGAGCCAATATAACTACAGGAAGGCAAAAGTGCCAGAAGAATTCTTAGACTTAGTCCAGTAATTTTCATTAAATTATGTTCCCTAACCCTGTGCCCTGGGAGGGGCTGAGTGCAAGAAGGGACCAATAGGAGGTGGTCTGGCTTCTCTTAAACCAGAGTAGATCTACTTTTATTTCATTTACATATCAGCCTTTCCACAGGATTTTGGTTGCAGAAAGGGTTCTGTGCTTTAAAAAAAAAAAAAAAGAAAAAGAAAAAAAGAAAAGGTTAAAACCCACTGATTTAATCCAATCTAGTTTTAAAAAAATGTTTTATTATAGAAATTTATTAAACTTACACAAAAGTAGAGAAAACAATACTGAATAGTGAGATTCCAGTTAACTATCCTTAGCTTCAACAAATATCAACTTAACCCATTTTTTTTTATAAGTCCCAGCTCCTCCATTTACTAGCTATGTGACCTGGGTGTCAATTTCCTCATCTTTAAAATGGTCCTGCCCTAGCCAGTTTGGCTCAGTGGATAGAGTGTCAGCCTGCAGACTCAAGGGTCCCAGGTTCGATTCTGGTCAAGGGCATGTACCTTGGTTGTGGGCACATCCCCAGTAGGAAGTGTGCAGGAGGCAGCTGATCGATGTTTCTCTCTCATTGATGTTTCTAACTCTCTATCCCTCTCTCTTTCTCTCTCTAAAAAATCAATAAAACATATTATAAATAAATAAACAAACAAATAAATAAATAAAAAAAATGGTCCTAATTCTAATGCCATTGCCAAAGGTTCTTGTGAAGCTAACATGAGTTAATATATGCAACCGCTTGGAATAGCACTCAGTATAGTACACACTGAGCACTCTATGTGTGCTGGCCCACACAATCCCGGACAGTGTGCCCTGGGAGTGACTTACCCACACCGTAGCCCTGGCACCACAGGCACCACATAGGTTGGGGCCTGGCTTATGTGGGAAGATAGCTGTGGAAAAGGTGTTTTCCCCACAGGGTGAGGAGGGGTCTAACCAAGGAGGCATTCTGACTCCTTTCTTTTCTTACTCCACTATCCTGCAATCTTCTCTCACTTATTTAACAACGGCAGGCCCGGGGCCCATAGAGATAAATAGAAAATAGGCCTATTCTTAAGGAGCTCCCAGTAATTATCAATAAAGGCAACTGAAGCCATAGAAAAGTAGAAGAAAGTAACAAAGAGGGTAATCAGAGAAAAACTTCACAGAGGAAGCCACTTCAATACTTCCCAAAACATCAGCTCAGCAGTTAGCTGAAGAGGAAGGAGAAAGGACAGTCAGGAAACATCTGCAATGGCTCTGAGGCATAGAACTAACATTGCATATTCACAGGAAAGGCAGTTTGTTATAGTTGAAACCTAGAGGTATGATGAAAAGTGGCAGGAAATAAAGTCA